GGGGGGCGGCCCCCCCCCCCCAGGGAGCAGACGCCTGAGCAGAAGCAGGAGGTGGGAGGTTGGTGTTGTCGTGTCTCATCTCAGCAAAGCCAGTGTCCCCAGTGACGTCTCTCTCCGCTCCCCAGCCTGCCTGGCCACCTCGTGCCTCGAGGGGTCGGGACCGTTGTCCTCGCTGGCCGTCTGTGACAGCTCTACACTCATCTGCGCCAGCTCTAACTCAGGGATCCATGTCCTCCGGATGAGCGAGGGTGCAGAGCCGGCGCTGCAGGAGGTGACAGCGTTGTAATCACCGTCACCTTTCTGGCAGAGGCTGCCCTTGAGCTTCCCCCCACCACCAGCACCAGGAGACTTTGTGCCTGAGGAGCAGCGATGTGCGATCAGCGGGGTGGGGGAGTTACTGGTTCCAGTTTGTGGGCGGTGGGGAGGCACTAGAGGTGCCTAGAAGAAAGGCCCAGTGCGTTCAGGCCCAGTTCTCACTCCTGGAAGAGCCTGGTGGTTTATTTCCAGAACCTGCACACAGGCCAGCTGGACGTGCTGGGGCCAGGGGAAGGGATGCACTGCGAGGAGGGCGCCAGGATGTGGGGCAGGGAACGCTCGGCCCCCTGCCCTCGCTCTGGGTGAGCGGAGCTGAACACGCGGTGACAGAAACCCTGCGCTGGGATTTCTACCCAGGAACAACGTGAGTGTAAACACAGAACATTCCAAAATGTCATCCTGTGGGAGCCTGCTGGGCGGCTGCTGGGCCAGGACAGTCCCGCTGTGAGAACCACCCTGGGGGTTCCTGGATGAGCAGCTGGGAGCCCCCAGCACAGCACCAGGCTCACCTGGCACTTTAGCAGACAGTTAACAACCAGCGTGAGCCTGTGTAGGTGGGGATCTAGGGCTGGTACAATGGGAGACTGCAATTAAATATTTCTCTTAGTCGCTGGCCTCTTGTCCCTTAGTATTTTTGCTAAAAGAACAGTAACTTGTGAGTGGGTTTGTGTTTTTTTTTTTTTTCTTAAGACACAATTTCACGATGCAGTGGAAGCGCTGAGAACAGAACTGTGTTCACGTTCCCAAGGAACAGGGACAGCTGCTCTCCAGCTGACAACGGGGAGATAAATCAGTCCTCTCTTTTCTCCTGATGGTTTTTTACAATAGCAGACAGAAATCCAGCTGTGTGTTGTGAAGTACCTGTGATTTCTCCATTCCTTGGACCCAGAGGCTAGGGTGGACACTGAAAACATGTTTTGATTTTCCAGAACACAACCTTTGCAAAACCTCTATTTAAAGACTCAAACAACAAATCAGAAAGCTCCCCACAGTGTATGTTAGAACAAGACAATCCTGTGCTGAAATAGCCTCCTTCGTGTTATCCCAGGTGAGACACAGCAAAAACGTAACCAGGAGATGCCCACAGGGATTTCAAACACCCAGTTCACGAGGTGGAGCTAGGACAGGAGATGGTCTGAGGTGGTACCTGGAAAAGAAAACTTTCCCTGGCCTTTACCATCTACTGGGAGTGAACACAAAGGCGATGCAGACCTCCGCATTTGGGGAACCAGGGTCCCACATTCCTCTAACTAGTTTTTCTTTAAACGCAAATCAAGTTCAAAGCCACAGACTCCTGACAAATGCTCCTGGAAATGGAAGGTAAGAAGGGTGTTGGCAGAGGCTGACCACCAGGCTGTGCCCGAGGTGCTGTGCGGCTGCCTACAAATGTTCCAAACAGACTGGAGAAAACGGGGAGCCTAACTTGGGAGGGTAGAAGCAGATAGATCACCTCTAAATTACAGCAGAAAGCAGTATCTGCAGTATAACAACAAAATCCTACAAAGTGGACAAACATCACGCGAGGTACGGCTCCAGCCAAGCCCCGGCAAACACAGGGGCTTCCAAACCACCTCAACCCGAGAGCAGCCAGTGACGACAGCTGCTGTTAACACGCTGCAATAATTCCTTTTTTTTCTTTAATATAAAAAAGCAAGTCTTAGCTGAAAGCCATTAACATCTCCATCCCAGTTCCTCAGCAGCACCTCTGAGCTACTCTGCTGTCCACAGCTTGAAGGTTCTGTCGTAGGAGCAGGTCGCTATCAGCTGCCCGTCCAGGGAGATGTCCAGTCCCATCACCTTCCCCTCGTGACCGGCCAGCGTTTTCAACGGGGACCAGCCGGGGTGAGTCCAGATCTTTGCGGTGTTGTCGTACGCGCCCGTGAGCAGGAAGTTACCATGATTGGCTGTAATAGAGGAGGAGAAAAAGGGAGAAGTGAGATTTGCAAATAAAAATGTGACAAATCTTCTCTGCTGTAGCCAGGCCTTCTTGACCCAAAGATGGGTTTTTGAGTTGCCCCATCCCCTCCCACCTCAGCTCGGGAGCAGCAGGGATAAGGAACAGCAATCAGGAGGTACTTACGTTCAAATTTCACTCCGGTCACCAGGTTCTGGTGGGCAGGAATGGTGTAGATGCACTTCCTCTGGCGGAGGTCCCACACCTTGCAAGTATTGTCACCGCTGCCAGTTGCAACGTGGTATCTGGGCAGAGGAAGAACACATCGTTGGGAGACGGGCTTGGTACTTGGAACTCCCACATAAACCACACAAGTTCTTTTCTTACCCATTTGGGGAGAAGTTAACCCCATAGATCTCCTTCAGGTGGCCTTCTAGAAACATGATGCAGCGTCCTGTGCGCAAGTCCCACACCCGGCCAAAAGCATCCAGGCCCCTGGGAAGGGAGAACCTGAGCATTACCACCAGAGACTTCAGCAACTGCCGGAGGACGCTCGGCCTCACCAGCAGAAATCGCTGGGCACCTGGCATCAGTCAGCTCCAAAACCTTGAGAATATTTCACATCCAGTCCTGACGCAAAGCCAACTCACCCGGTCCCAGCGAGAGACCCGTCGGTGTGAAAGGCGATGTCATAGACGCCCTTGCTGTGCCCCTCCTGATGGAGAATCTCCTCCTGAGCTTCCAAGTCCCACAAACGCCACGAGTGATCATAGCTGTAAAAACAAAACGTTTGTCCAACTAATGTCTCTCCGAGGAGATAACGGGATATTTCACCCACTCTGGGGGCATTTTATTTCTGTCTGGAGACCAAGAGGGTCTCAAGTGAAGGGCAGAGAAAGGAATCCCCATGATGTGCTGTTACTTGCACTGCAACAGCCCAGCTGTGGTGAGAACGGCCAACCCTCACCCACGCTGCGCTCCTCTGCAGGCAGGCCACGGTGGCCACTGGGCTGCCGGCAGGACACCTGATGGTCACATCTTAGAGCAAATAACCCCGTCTCCGTACCAGGTAGTACCCAGGAACCTCCCAGACGGGTGCCACATCACACGTGCCACTCTCATGCTGTGTCCTTCAATATCTGCCACCGGTTCATCACTGAAAAACAGAAACAAAAATCATCCAACACTGGTCAGAGGTGGTGGGCTCTAGCCAGGCCTTCACAGATGTTACGATCAAAGCAAAAGATCTGATGATTAAATGCAAGCCAGACAGGAACATCAGAATTCTAACTAGTGACTCCAAATTCTGCCTTTTCCTCACACAGCTAAAGCTCTAAGTGAAACCCTTTTATCCACACTCATGTTGGTCAAAAAGTTCTCCTGGGATAATTATTATTATTTCTGAAAATTAACAAGGCTCTTGTCATTAGCACTTTGAAAGTGCAGAAACAAAAACACAGACTACCTGCATGGCAGGGAGCTTTACTGTGACTACACAGAACACATCCTGAACCACAGAACTCCTGCTATCCTGAAGAATCGCAGGCAGGCAGGATAGAGTGACTATTCTCCCAGAATTACAGATCAGTCGCCTTCAGCAGAAGACCTGAGCAGCACTTAAGAGTCTCTTTCTGACAGGTTAACTAAAGAGATGTGGTCACATGAGACTAATAAACAACCTGTCCCTTTGCACAGCTACGCTGCTGCAATTAGAAACCGTGACTTTCAGTGAAGGATAAATAACTGAGGATTTTTGAGCTTTGAAAGAGCGAGGGCTCGGTATCAACACCATTCTCTCCTTCACAGGCTCGAGACAGATGCTGCGCACCTTCCAGCACGACACGGTGCAACGACAGAGCCCCTCGTGTTCAGTACAGGATGCAGCTTCTGCGCATGGTCATGTATTTGGTTAGTCCTGCTCTGAACACTCGTGCTTTCCAACAACTCCAAAGTTTATTTCTTAATGTCCAAGAGGGAAAATTTTCTCCTAAATGAACAGTTACAATGAAACAATCTCTACATCTTCCATCCGTCACCCACAGCAGTTCACCGATGCCCAGCATCAACTCTGACTCAATTCTTTTCAGACGATTTCCCCTCACCGTGATTCCCCTAAGCAGGGTGAGCTCTTTCCTGATGAAGAAGGTGGCACATACTGAGGCCAGGAATTGCACTGGTATAACTACAAGAAAAGGTTGTATTTGCAGGAGGATGGTAAATGTCTCGTGTTTAGTAACACAAAATAAACCCCAAACCAAAAACTCTGCAGCTGTGCATGTCTGGTGTCGTTCTGACCTTTCAAGGCTCCAGAGTTTGACAGACCCGTCAGCCGCACACGAGGCCAGGTTCACGTCCTTCTTGTCTAGGGAGACAGTGGATTTGGGATGGAAGACTATTGCTCCTACGTTGGTGTTATGTCCTTAAGAGAAAGGAAAATCAAAATTCATAATCTGCCGTGTGATCTTGGCCTGTTCTTCAGAAAAGCAGCATTTCTTTGGTACTAATGAGTCAAGTATCACTGAACATTTTCACTGCGTCCTCCCGTGTTGGGGGAAGTTGCATTGTACCATCTGTCCTGCCAACAGCTGCACTGCACTTCCAGTAGCACCCACTCAAGAGTATCAAATGCCAAGGTTTGTAATCCTTAAAATGTGGTGAAAATTCAACACATGAATCAAGGCATTTGTCCCCGCATTCATATTTAGACAAAGTTGTAACCACTGTTCAAAGAACCTCACTGCTGTTAAGTGACCTGGCCAAGAATGCTGATATTTGTCTCAAAATAACTCAAAGGAAGTTTTGAAACAAAACAAAACACTGTTCAGGAACAGAGAAACAGCAAATTCGGGTCTTAGCCCTAAGAGAAAGGCTGGGACTGCCTCTTGATTATCTGACACGTGCCCATGCTCCATGAGCCTGACTGATGCTCTCATTAGAATAAAACCTGCCAAGAGAACACCTAATTTTCAGTGACAAATACAGATGTGGGAACACAACCCAGAGAAGAACAAAAGAACGAAGAAAGAGTCTCAGTGAAAGTCGCTCTCTACCTCGTAAGGTGTGAACGAGGTTGCAGTCAGGCACAGACCAGAGCTTGCACAATCCGCTCCTGTTGAAGACAAGAAATAGAGGTCAGCGTAGATGGGAACATCAGAGAACAAATCAAACACAGAGCTGCAAAACCACCCCGGGGGGTTCTGCAATGGCTAAAACACCAGTACGCTTTGGGCAACTAGTGGACTCGGACAGAAATCTCTGCTAAGCTCCAAAACAAAGTGAAGAGAGAGTTCAGAGTAGGAAGAAAAAACATTTCTGAACTCTCATAGAATCACAGAATCATTGAGGTTGGAAAAGACCTCAAGGATCATCAAGTCCAACCATCAACCCAACACCACCCAACCCACTAACCCATGTCCCGAAGCACCACATCTACACGTTTCTTGACCCCCTCCAGGGATGGTGACTCCACCACCTCCCTGGGCAGCCTGTTCCAAACTCTTTCCATGAAGAATTTTTTTCTAATATCCAGCCTAAACCTCCCCTGGTGCAACTTGAGGCCGTTTCCTCTTGTCCCATCACTTGTCCCTCTTGAGCAGAGCCCAGCACCCACCTCATGATTCACAAGCCTCCAACAACATCCCTCTCACTCCTGCTGTGCTCTCCCTGCCCCTAAAGCAAGTGCTGTAAAACACAGCTTACCAGCAGGCAGTAGCGAGGAGTTTGGAATTGGGGCTGAAGTGGCAGTAGGACAGCGGGCGATCGTCTCCAATCTGACTGCAGAAGTTATTCAAGGACTGTAACCAAATACAAAGGAAACAATAAATGAGTAGAGAAAGCCCCAGCCAGAGATTGAGGTGAAGGAGGCAAATGTATGCAGGAAGAGGAAGACTACTTTGGAAAGTCACTTTCAAAGGGAGGAGCTGCCTCAGAACCACTCCAGCTCCAAGCATGAGGGCCACAGAGCCAGACTGGCCGAGGTAGGCTAGCACGGCCCTGGGGCACAGCGCAGCTCTGTGTGCCACCCACGGTACTCACACCAATAACCCTGCGGGCTGGCTTTGCAACTACAGTTTTGATGGACAACTCACTGCAGTTTTGGCCTCTTTCTACGACTCACCCAATGAATGCAGCCAGACAGACTAGGGCAGGCAGTGCGGTGTGCTCAGGGGAAAAGCAAATCCTCCGGCAGCTAATGCCTCTGGGTGTAAACAGGATTAGAGTGGCAGCACACGGTGTGCTTGAGCCTCTCCGTTCGGTTAAGCTGGGAATCTGACTTAACAGGCTCAGAAAGGGCATCTCAGAGTCACCTAAAACATGTTCTGCATTACTGCGTTGGTTGTTATTTCCCTTGGATTTATGCACCATTGTACAGGAAGAGGAAAGTTAGCGGTCCCTTCCCAGACAGTTAAACCTGTGACAAAGCCAGGAATAAATTCCTTCAACTTCAGTGAGGCAATGCAGGGGTGTCCCTTCATCCCTCTGCCACACAAAGGGACAACTCCAGTACATCTCTCTGAATCAGTGAAGGAAGCGTTAGGACACGCTCTATGCATACCCCAGGGAAAGAAAAAAAAACAGAGCACAGTGCAGGAAACTACATGCATCCGGAGAGCACCTCCGGGCTGCTCATCTCCTTCTGCTCTCTTTGGAGGATCAGCAAAAATTTGGAAAACCAGCACCTGAGGAGATGGCAAACCTACTCGCAGGGATTTGTGTAGCTCCTGTCTCTGCGATGTCCTGGTTGCCTCTGGAATCTCTTTCAGTAGCCGGGCTTCTTCTAGCCGCTTTGCTGCCCTGTGAAGAGGAAAGGTGGAGTAACAAGCCCCTACATTTTCCCCACCGGGCTGCTGGAAACAGACCTTTCCCTCTTCTTCCCCCAACTGGGCTAACATCAGTCACTGAGAACTCAAGCTGTAAGCTCACTGGACTTTTCCACCAGTGTTCCCCATTCCCTTGATCTCAGATTTCCTGCACTACCCGCAGTGGGATGAGCAGCTGGATTGCACAAAAAGCTGCATCTCTTCCCTTAATTTGTGCTGTTTGCTCTCACCTGGGGAGCGAGTAGTTCGCAAGCCACAGTCTCGCTGTTTTCAGACTGCGCGGTCCTTCGTGGTACCAGGTTTGCTGATACTGTAAGAAAAAGAAAACAAAAAAAAGCTAACGTGGTGCTGCCCTACCATTCAGTCACCTTTGGTGACCTCCTCTTAGGACATAAGTGCCACCACAGCATCTGCTCTTGAATCTTGCTGTGTTCAGGCCTCTTTTTAAGGGCATTTTGCATAACTATAAGCCCTAGAAAAAGAGATTAAGAGACACAAGTCAAACTCTCTGCCCTACAGATCAGATCCTGACATGCTGCCATTTCACTCAAGAATATTCCAACTGAGCACTAACTCATTTTTAATTTTTTACTTAATGGTGTACAGCTAAAGAAATCCTAGAGCTGCAGAAATTGTCATTATTTCTTACAGCAACCACAAAAAATAAGGAAAAAATGAACTCAAAAAAGAGAAAGGAGAAGCAGAAAGAAGAATCAAAGGCAGATATAGATGCCGTAGCAGGAAGAGAGTTTTTTCCCTCCCGGGTATGAAGACAAACACCAAAAAAGGACTTGCTATACTGAGTAACAGTCCAGACATCTCATCTCCTGCATGGCATTTGGCCTGCAAGTACAAGCCAGACTTAATGCTCCTGATTTAGTTAAGACATTGGCAGTTTTGCTAAAATGAGCAACACAGAAGCAGCACGAAGGGATGACGTGAGAATCCACAGACTGACCAAAACCAAGAGTCCTGGACATAGAGGAGACTGTCAAAGAAAGGTATCTCAAACCTTTCTCCATCAGCACTGAGAGAACAAGAGACCATTACCTCTTCTTTGGATTTTTTAGACCTGTCGTCATCTTTCCTGGTCTTTTTTAATGCATCTGTGCCAACCACCGAAAGGATATTTCTTAATCTGGAAAGAAACACATGATGTCATATTCACTCAGTGAATTCTCAGCCAACCTGACAAATAATCCCTGTCTGCCATTCTCTCTTCCTCAGCATTATAATGCACCCCAACTACGTGAAAAATGTCGAGAATTTGATAAACTGAGTGTTCGCTGTTTGCAACACCCAGGGCAGACACAGCACCTCTCCCTCCTTTCCGCAGGACCTTCTCCAAAGAGCGTGATGGGCTCCCCGAGCGCTCGCAAACAGGCTTTCACTTCAGAGTCGTCAGTGGACACGTTGATCTGCCGGGCTCTCTTCCTGCGCTCAAACTCAGCCAGCACTTCCGCCTGCCGCTCGCTCATGTGGTCTTCGAGATCAAAGACCTCCCCTGAACAAAAAAACAAAACCATCAGATTGAAAACAACAATCAGATGAGAGATCCCTCTCAAGGAGGACGATCCAAATGAAGAGCCAACACTCTGGGTAACAGCCTCACGTTTTTCACGTTAAATCACACTCCAAGTTGATCAGAGACTTTTGAAAGTGTCACATTCCCAAGCGAGAGGGCAAAAAAAAGGTGGTTAAACATTCTCACCGCTGCTTATGTTGATGTTGCCAGCCTCCATCGCAGCCTTCATCCCCTCTTTTCCCAGCAGCCCCGACTCTCCCTTTGCCAGACGCTCCCTTTCCTTCTCTTCCAAGCTGCCATAGAAGATGGGGGCTCTCTTGGCCGGAGGAGCATCGCCCTCCTCGGCCGGCTTGGTCTTCACGGGCTGGAAGGTAAAGGCAGAAATTTAAGTGTGTTTTGGCCAAAAAGGAGACAACAGCTTGGCTGTGCATGAAAGCACTGCTCTGCTACAGAAAGATCGGACATTCATTGTGAAGACACCCTGACACTGTACGTGAGGCGTTAATTTTGCACAATGCAGCTGTGACCCGAGTGCAGGGATCAAAGTAACATGCCACATAGAATAATTTGCAACATCAGACTGTGTTGTCTCCTGTTTATTTATTACCTGCTTGGACATCATTTTTAAGGCTCTAGGTTTTGACCCATTTTTTAAATAATAATTAAAAAAAAGTCCCGAACACGCAGCTTTTCCTAACCCCGCAGAACAAGCCCCGGGAAAGGCCCCGGGCGACGCCGGCCACCCCCTCCCGGTGCCCTCACGGGCAAGCGGAGGGCGATGACAGGCCAACGGCTCCTTCCTCCCCACACCGGCGCCTCTCCGCCACGCAAACCCCGCAGCCCAGAAGGAAACCCGAGCCCCCGGGTCGGTACCGGCCCCTGTGGGGAACG